AGAGGCACCGTGAGTGCAGCATTAGACTCTCGCTGGGGCCCCAGGGCGCTCCTTCCAGAGGACGCTCACCCTAGAGCTCCGACTCCCGGGGTCCCGAGGGCAATCGAGGTGGGGGGGCATCTGGGGGAGGCTGCGGAGCTGCCGGTCTCCTTAGGCCCGTGAGGGACCAGAGCGCTCTCTGAGCCCACGCCCACCAGCCCTTTCCTTCAGCCAGTGCCTGCTGAGCTGGCTGCCGTGTGCAGGTCCTGTCCTGTCTCGTCCTGTCCTCTCCAACCCTTGTGAGCACCGGGAGGGTCCCCGGCCTGCCACAGACCCTGCACAGCAGAGCTTCCTAAGCTTGCCTGATGGTTGACATCACCTGGGGATCTTGTTACAATGACAGCTTCCCGGTGCCCAGCCCTGGAGAATCTGGGTGCAGGAGGTCTGAGTTGGGCCCGGTATCACACCGCATCCCACCCCTGACCTCGGGGTCCTGAGAGGCTTTGGGGAGGGTTGGAGGGGCTGAGTCTGGTGGACGGGGCAACTTGCAAAAGATCCCCCACTCACCTTCTCTGGGGCTGTGGTGGGGGCGGGGTGTGGGGGGGAGAAGAGGGAAGAGACAACCTCAGGCTGGTCCCCCAAGGCCTCCCGTGACTGAGGCTCCTTCTGGAACTTTCCAGGCTCCCAGAATGCCTCAAGGAGAACAGAGGTCGTGTGGGGCTGAGATGGTGGAGGGCCAGGGCGGGGGTCTGGGACCCCAGGGTCACTCGTCTGTGCCATTCCCCGGGTCCGACAGAGGGAGGGGTCCTCTCATACCCAGGCCACGGGACGGTGCCTGGACCTGGGCACCGCTTCCGCCTCCTAAGGTGACCCTCTGCTGTCCCGTCTTTGTTTTTACACGTTTCCCACTCAAACCACAAACTCCTGGACAGGAGAACTGTTTTATTTTTAACCTTCATGTCCCCGTCTCAGGGCCCAGTGCTTGGCACAACACTGGTACCCAGGAAATGTTTGTCAAACAAACCAATAAATGCTGCCTGGGCCTGGAGTGCCCCCTGCTGGACAAAGAGAGCATGGCAGTGTCTTGGATCTTGGCTGGAACAGTCGACTTGGAGGGAGGGGGCCTGGCCCCCTGGTTCCCAGCAGCCTGACCAAGGGTGAGGTCACGTGGGCAGGGGTCTGCACAGGGGTCCCTGGGCAAAGTCTCGTGGCAGCGGGGGGACAGGCTGGGCCTCTGAAAGGTGTGCTTATTGTAGGATAATGAGGGCCAAGTGGGAAAGGAGCGCCCCAGGTGCAGGAGAAGGAGGAGGAGGAGGAGTCCAAAGCAGCCTGAGCTGACTTGCAGACCAGTGAGGGCCGGGATTCACGGCTGGGCAGCGAGGCCCAGCGCCCATGCTCTCGGTCGCTGTCAGCACCCGCTCACCCACCCGGGCACCCATCCCCAGAGCCGACGCTCTGGACCCGACCCTGCCGGAGGGTCAGGGCGGGGACACCGGTCCCACGGCACCCGGCTTTGTCGCCCTGTCTAGTTCCCCTGGAGGAGCACCCACCTCCTCCCCCGGGGAAAGTTTCGGTTGTCCAGGATAGGGACTAAAATAGATTGCCCCACTGACTTCCCTGTTTCCTCCACCTGCTCCTGGGCGGGCCCAGGGTCCGTCTGAAAACCCCTGCGCCGCTGGTGAAGTGTCCTCCCCGCTCCCTCTCCCTGAGGGCGCGGGCCCCACCCAGAGGGGCTGAGTCAGACTCCCGGGCACAGTTAGGTAGGAAAAGGGGAGGCCCGTTGGGGGGCAGGTGGCTCAGGCAGGGGCGTTTTGTCAGAGAAGCTCCCCAAGAGAACCCCATATGCGTGCTGCGTTGGGACCCCTGGTGGCTTCTGTGTAAAGAAAGGTGGTCAGCAGGGTGGGGGAGCTATAGGACGATGCCTCTCGCTGCGTCACCCACCAGCCCTGCACCCCCGCTCCTCACAGGCCCCTGACCCCTGAAACCGCCCACGGCAAAGTAGAGTCTCCTACTCTCCAGAGCTGGAGGCCTCTGCGGGGCTGAAGGTCTCCTTCTTGGGTCCCTTCCCCTGTGGCCAGAACACATGTCCGTGGGAGCCGTGGGGTTTCGCAGCCTCCAGCCCTTCTGGTGGAGAACTTGGCCAGGAGGGGCAGACAGGGAGGGATGGGACTGGTTTCCCTTCTCTGCCTTCTCAGTTCCCGAGTCGAGGCTGCTGCCCTCTCCTCACCACCTGCAGCCTCTGCCCCGCCCCTCTTCCAGGACAGCCCAACGGGGGTGGGCAGGGCAGCCTGGTGGGGCAGTGTGGGCAGGCCCAGGCTGACCTCAGAGCGGGTGGTCCGTCTGAGCATCTGCGGGCCCGCTGGGTCTCGCTGGCTGCAAACCAGGATCCTAAGACGCCCCCCAAAGCCAGAGTTCAGTGTCCTTCATTCCTCCTGGGTGACCTGCTCCGAGGGCTGGGCACTGTCCTGTTTCCTCTGTCCCTTCTACCCCTTCGTTCGCTCCTCCTCCTGCACGGAGGGCCAGCCCCCCCTCTCAAGCCCCCAGGCCCTCTTTCCCAGGGGCTGGAGCCTCCCCCTTGTTCCCGGTCCACTGCCTGGGGGTCTGGAGGGATCCGTGCCACACACCGGATACCTGTCCAGAAGCCCCTCCACTCCCTGAATTGCAGACGGGAGCATTTGCCTGCCCCAAGAAAGCTGGCGGTTCTCGTAACTTCCAACGGCTGGCAGACGGGCTGCTCGTGGGTTCTAAGCGCAGCAGCTTCTCCATAAGGTGCAGACTCCGCTGCTTCTTGGCTGCTGCGTCCCATGGCCTGATTTGCATTGCCTGGTTCTGGCCACCTTGGGAACTAGGACTAAAAACCACTGGACTTCCCAGCAGTGCCCCATAGCCTGCCAGCTGCAGGGCTGGGTTTGGCCATCTGGTCCACCCCAGCTCCACTGTCTAGTCTCTGCTTACTGCCCTCCCCACCACCAGGGGTCTCTGGGCCCCTTATGTGTCCCCTCGGGACCAACCAGAGATGGGACAGACAAGCAGGGCCGGGCCAGGATGGAGCTGGGTGTCAGCAGCCAGAGCACGGAAGGTGCTGGAACTCAGAGTGCGATGGAGCCAGATTGGAATGAGCTGGGAAGGGAAGGGAGGCCAGGCCCGGCCAGGGCAGTAAGCGAACCCTGCCTTCCGCTCCACCGGCAAACAGCAGCGACACCGCTAGCGGATTCCTCACCCCCTCGGGGAGGTGGAGACACCCAGGCCTCCGCTGGGCGTCGTGACCGCACACTCGGGCTCCTGGTTTGTCGACAGTCTGCCCACTTCCCCTCACTCTGCAGGAGAACGGGGCCAGCTCTGTGCTGCAGGGGCATCCGTCAGCCCCGAGGGGTCAGGGGGCGGGGAGGGGATAAAGCTCGTGGGAAAGGCCCGAGGGGCCAAGAGGACGGAGGGGTGGGGGTGGGGTGGAGAGGGGGGGTCTCCTGACTCACACTCACAATGGGCATCACAGTTGCCTTCTAAAGGTTTAAGTGTAATTTACACACCATGAAATCGACTCATTTTTTTAAAGGTTTTATTTATTTTTAGAGAGGGAAGGGAGAGAGAGAGAGAGAGAGAGAGAGAGAGAGAGATAGACATCAAAGTGTGGTTGCTGGGGGCCGTGGCCTGCAACCCAGGCATGTGCCCTGACTGGGAATTGAACCTGCGATGCTTTGGTTCACAGCCTGCACTCAATCCACTGAGCTACGCCAGCCAGGGCGAAATGGACTCATTTTAAACGTATAATTTAATAACCTTTAGTACATGTACACAATTGCTCAACCATGATCCAAACCCAGTTCTAGAGCATTCCCTCAAACGTGGTGTTAACATTATCACAGGCGAATGTCTCCTGGCAGTCCCAGAGTGTGGGGGAAGGACAGAAGGTAACTCTCCCCCAAGCCCGCGCCTGGGTCCCACGGCCGGCCCACACCACGAACGCGTTCATGCTGTCATAGAGCTTGTGGTTGTCTAGAGAACAGCCCGGGTTTATGATTTTCCTGTCGCCCCACTATGCGCTGCGTGTCAAAAGCCTGGCCTTGTTAAGGCTCCCATGGGCACCAGCCCTCTTTTGGGATCTCTCCGTCGCGTGATGTATCAGCAGACTCGGAGAATGGGAGTGGGCTGGACCGGGGGCCGCTGGACCTCCCAGCGCGGCCCCACGACCTGCCCGGGCGGAGAGGAGCCAGAGACCCGAGAGAAGCGGAGAGGACCGGACTCAGGGAAGCCCCTGGGCCCCTGTCTGGGCCCTTCGCTGGCCGGCAGCACGGATGACACTCAACAGCAGCCTGGAACAGGCACGGAGGCTCCTCCCATCCAGAGTCAACGCTCACCTCTCACGTCCATCCTACAAAGCCCTGTTACCCCTTGGCGGGCCTGAAGTAGCCCTTGGAAACACACACGTTCCCCCAGCTTCTGGAAGCGTCTGTGGGAAGACCACCGAGGTGCCGGGACAGATGAGCAGTGAGGTCAAGGTGGTTGTAGGGGAGGAGGTGCGGGAGGGAGCTTCTGACCTTGCTGAGGCCTTGGGAGTTGGAGTCATCCCCAGAATGCCAGTAGCTCACACAGTCAAGGTCAAGGGCGAATGGGGCTCCCGAAGCCAAAAATAAGGAGAGGTTTTTGAACCGGCTGCCTGCGGGTTCGCCCCACCCTCGGTCAGCAAAGCAGCAAGAGCTGACAGGGACTGTTTTGTGTTCCTCCGGCCCTGCCCTGGGCTGTCCCCTGAGTGAGGAAGGAGGAGGGTGCAGAGGAGCAGCAGGGGAAGCGGGGATCCCCTGGGGAGCCTGTCCGTTTGGGTTCTCATGTCCCCGGTTGCCCAATACCCTCTTCCTCCACATGCTGGCCGTCAACAGTTGGGGCACCCTCTGCCGCCTCTCGGAGCCCCTCCCCCTCCCCGTGCAGCCCCCCGACGGAGTCACGGTGCGCGGGGCTCGGGGTTCACGGGACGCACGCACTGAACTCGAGCTGTGGGTGAGTTGCTCCATCTCTCCGAGTTGTGGGGCATCGAGGCGGGGACGCACGTCCGTGGTGGCAGGTCGGCCATCCCAGCGCGAGTGACGCAGAGGAATTCCCGCGTCGTCCCCACGTGGAGCCTCCTGTGAAGCAGGTGCGGGCGCTGAGCAGTGTCCCCATTTCACGGAAGGGGGGACAGACCCGACAGGGCAGCTAGAATGCCGCTCAGGGCCCGGACACGGGGCCGGACAGCCCCGCTCCGCCCTCACGGTCATGGTCGGGGACCCTCCCCGGTGGCTCCCCTCCCTGGGCCTGCCCCCTAGAGGGTCCCCAGGGCGTTACCTGTGGTGTCCCCTGGCAGACACCTGGGGAGCTGGGGGAGGCGGGTGGCGCCCCGAGGTTTCCTGTCCGGGTGCGCGGACCCCTGGCCTCTGCTGGAGCCCGGCTGTCACGGAGGCGGAGCTGAGGTGGCGTGTGGGGACCCTGGGGCTCCGCTCGGGGGACTTCCACGTGCTCTTACCCCCTCGCCCTTTCAGTTCTGTCGCTTTCTTCGCCCGGGGGCGGAGTCTGGCGAGGGGAGAGAGGCCTTGGTTCTGGCGCCCTTTCCGTGGGCAGTGCAGTGGGCACGTGAGCCTGGGGCTGTGGGGGTCCCTCGGGGGCCCCGCTTTTGTGAAGTCTTACAGTCTCACTGTGAAAGGGGGGGGCAGGTGGTGACGGCCCCGTGTAGGGGGTGAAGTACAGAAATAGACACTGCATGGGGCAGGATGCGGGGGTGGGGCGGGGTGGGCTCAGCGGGGCCTGGAGGAGGCTGGGGCGTCTCCTGAGGAGTCATCCTCCAGCTGTGGGTGCCCCAATCCCTGTGACTGGGACCCCGAGGACCCAGGCCCGTGACGGCGGGGTGCGCCCCTCCTGAGCTGCCCCCATCGGAGCAGGTGTCAGTCCCAGCGCCCTCAGTGCCCAGGGCGGGACAGGGCCTGCGGTGGGGGGGGCAGGGGGTGGCCGCGTGGATGGTGGGGCACCCAGGCCTCTGGCTGGGACTGCCACCCTTAGGTTCGGCCGCAGCTTCCTCTTCCTCTCCGTTCGCCCCACGGCACGCCCAGGGCCCCGAAGAACAGCGTGTTACAGGCCGACGTGACCAGCCGCCCGTGGGCTGTGGGGCGCACTCGGACACGGGTTTCTCAAGCTGCTTTGAAGGTCCAGCCACTGGGGGTAGCGTTCCCACAAGTGGGCAGGAGGGTGGGGTGTGGCCAGTCCCCAGAGTCCAGCAGGCAGGCGGGCAGGCCAGACAGGGGCGGGGCCAGGCCACGGATGCCCGCCTCGCCCGGGCAGGGCCGCTGGGGAAGGGAAACTGGACGCTGCTATCACTTCGTTCCCGTCCCTGCTGCCCCTCCCCCAGCTGCTTCCCATCCATCCGCGCTGGCCTCGTTATCAACAGCTGTTGTCAGTACCAGACGAGGTCCAGTCCCCCGTGACCCAGGCACCCGGAGGGCAGGGTGGGGTGACGGCTCACCCAACACCCAGCAGTCAGTCAGTTCTTCTCACGACAGCCTCCTGGTCTTGGGGCCGCTCCCACTGCGCTGCGGGCGGTGGGGCAGCCCCCCGGCCTTCAGGCTGCACCCGGGCCCCTCACTCGGGGGGAGGAAGAGGCAGAGCGAATGGGGAGCCACCAGCTGCCCTGGCGAGAGGGCAGCTCGGACTTGTGCCGCCCTGCAGGGGGCCGTGCTGCTGAGAAGCCCACAACTCCGTCACCCCCCGAATCCTTTCTGGGGCCCCTGCCGTTTGCAGGGCTCAAAGCCGCTGCCGGTCTGCCCGGAGAGCCCCCACCCGGCACCAGCAAGGCCCCGCCCCCTGGGCCCCGGTCGTCACTGGGGAGAGGCCTTGTGGGTGCAGGACCCCACCCGAGAAAGGGGACTCAGTCCTTCGCCCCGGGGGGGCGGGGGAGGGGAGCCTTCGCACGTCTGCCAATGGGCAGTAGGGAGCAGCAGGAAAACCACCGTTTCCTTATTTTTTTACACTGAATTTATTGGGGTGACGTTGGTTAATAAAATTATATGCATTTCGGGTGTGCGGTTCTATGATGCGTCGTCTGTACACTGTGCTGTGTGCTCACCAGCCAAAGTCAAGTCTCCTTCCACCAACATTTACCCCCCCCACCGTCTTCTACCCCCCCCCCCATCCCCTTCCCCTTCCTTAATGTTCTGATCCCAGGCAGGCAGCCTGCCGCGGGCAGGGCGGGTGTGGCAGGCCCCCGGCCCTTTTCCCTCCCTCCGCTGAGGTTCAAGTGCGTGTCTGCGCTCCCAAGGAGGAGCGGACCCCGTTGTGTCTGCGAAGCCTGCTTCTCAGGATCGAATCCTAGTTCCCCGCTGCTTCTCATCAAAGATGTATTCCACGGGGCGGGGGGGGGGGGCCTAAGGGTGTAATTGCCTCACGGTGGAGTCTTTCATAATTATTATGCTATTTGTTCCCACAGACGAGCTGTTACTATCGACATCCTACAGGAGCCACGGGTGTTGGTCAAGGTCACGCCGAGGGTGAGGGGAGGAGCCACAGGAGAACCCAGTCTCTCGCTTCTCAGTCCAGGGCACCTCTTCACCCCTCTTCACCTTGACGGTCCCCACCGTCGCCAGGCTTTTCGGGGGCTGAGCTGCGGAAGAAACCTTGCCTGGGGAACTTGGCAAGGGTTTGTCGCATAGACTGACAAGTGTGACGCCTCCTCTGCCCTTCGCTGTCCAGTTCAAGGTCGAGGGCTTTACGAGCGTTCCGTGGTCTACGACTGCATTGCTGTAAACACCCTCCTCCTTCCTACCCAAGTGTCCGTGGAACCTTCCAGAAGGAGAACCAGCAAGTCTGTTTGGTTCCTTTGCACTCCTCCGGGAAAGGTGCCCTTGTCCCTGATGTGTGTCTCCTGCCCTGAGCCGGGTCCAGCCAGGGGGACCACACAGGGAGAAAGGTCACAGCCCGAGGACTTTGGGGTCAAGTTCAGGACACCTTTCCAGGACTAGAGAGCATCGAGGGCCTCCCAGGGCTTTGTGCCAATCGGGGGTCCAGGCCTTGAGCTGGGTCCTCGTGGAGAGGGAGCTCCCCAGGGGGGCCTTCCTGCGGGTTGCCCAGGGCCCCCCCGCCAAGGCCCCGCCCTAAGCACCCGCCACGAGGGCCCGACTGGAAGGTGACGTGGCCCCATGGTTCTGCAGGACGCGAGAGAGGGGAGACGCGGGTTCCGGGGTGTCTTGGCCAGCCCCCAGGCTTTCTCCATTTTCTGACCAGCTCCAGGAACAAAACCAAAACGAAGCTGAACGAGGAAGCGGCCGGCGCGGGGGAAAGCAGAAGTGGAAGCGCCGGAGACCTGGCCCCCTCCCCGGAGGAGGGCCGGAGCCCGGCCCACAGCCGCAGGTGACTCCCGGGAGAGATGGCCCGGCAGGACCCGGCTCCGTGGCTTCGGGCGGCTCTGCTGCTTCTCTGGGTCCCAGGTGAGGGGCCGCTGGGGCAGGACCAGCGGGGAGTGGCGGGGGTGGGGGGCAGGGCCGCCTGCGGGAGGGGTTCCGTGAAGCAGTCCCAGCCTGGGCTCTGTCCTGAGCTCACGATGGGGCACCCTCGGTGCCCCAGGCAAGATGGACGGACAGACGGAGGGACTGTACCCAGGGGAGCGGAAGGGCCGAGGGTCTGACTTCTTCGGCACCCACCTGGTCGTAGACGAGCCGCAGTGGGGGTGGGCCGTGGTGCAGAGGGGCGGGCACGGGAGGAGGGGCTTTCCGGGACGTTAGGAGGCTGCCCCGAGCACACCTGGGGGGCTATTTTGTTGGGAGGCGCCCTCCTGCTTCCCAGGTGTGAAGGAAGGGTGGGGGCTGGGTGGGAGCACCGTGGTCTGGTGGTCTCGGCGGCCTCGGGGACGAGGAAGGGTGTAGGCAGGGCCCCTTGAGAGGGCAGAGCCTGGAGGCCAGCAGGGAGATGGGGACAGAGGCGAGGCTGTGCGGAGGGAGCTCTCTCCGGGGAGAAGGACCAGGACCTCCCCTCCCCCAGCCCATTCATCTTCTGGGCCTCCTCACCCCCGCCCTGCAGTGTGGTCAGGCTTCTCCTTGGAAGATCTGCCATCATTCCGGCTGTTTTGCTCATAAACGAATGGCGTGTTTTCTTCCGTTCCACTTGCTCACCGGCTGTCTGGTGGGGAGCTGTGACTCTCTGTGAATTAACTCAGAGAGAGCCGCCCCGGTCCCCACCGGCTGTCCACTGACCCTGCCGGGGTTCGCGGGTTCTCGTGGGGTCTGCCGGCCAGGGGGCTCCCCCTTCCCTCCCGACACCTGCCTGCCTCTCTCCTCTCCTGCTCTCGCTGGCCGCGAGTGGGGGCGGCCAGAATGACACCCGGGACCGAGGTGGCTTGGCCTTCCCTGCCTTGGCCCTGACCAGGGCAGGGTTCAGTGCTGCCCCCCGAGGTCTGAAGAAAGCGTCTGCTCGTGTCTCTTTCTGAAACATTTAAAAATCAGCAGCAACAGGCATCGGGCGGGCGCCTTTTCATTACCCGCAGACACGATGATACTTTTCTCCTCTGAACCATGAAGGTGGTGCGTTATGTTAAGAGAGCTGGCCAGATTTTAGGTTCAATGTATCATGCTGACTTCACGGAAAGAGTTGGGGAGGTTTTCTTGTTTCTGTGTTCTCTGCAAATGCTGAACCGAGATGGGAAGTTTGTCGCTTGAAAGGCCGAGGGAACTAACATGGGAAACTGTCTGGGTTTTGCTCTTTTTTTTTGTGGAAGCGGAAAAAAATTCTGTCCCCTCTCCCCACACCCCACTTTATTGAGGCACATTTAACAACAAAACAACCGTGTGTGTTTACGCTGTGCGCGTGGTGCTTGGGGATGCGGACACACCGTGAAGTGACCGGCGCGTTAACTCCCACAGCCCTCGCCGGGGAGGGCCCCGGGGTGATAATACTTATCGCTACTGGTCTGCATTAAAAACGTATTTGGGGCCAGTACTGATCATTCATATTTTCCTAGAAAATCACCAGTTTCATCCAAGTTTACAGGCTTATTTGTAGAGACTTGCGAATCACCCTGGTTAATTTCTTTCTAGCTGTTTGTGAGTGTGTGTATGAGTGTGTGTGAGTGTGAGTCTTCTCCTTTCCTCCTTGATCAGACACCCACTAGAATGTCTGTTTTATTCCCTGTCTCTCCCAACAGAAGAATCCGTTTTTTCAACGTGCACACTAATTGCACTGTTTTTCTGCCTCGTGACTCACTGATTTCTGCTTTGCCTCTGCTCTTCCCTTCCTCCTGGGTTGGGGGTTCGCGTGTACCCCTCTCCTGACAGCCCAAGTTGGAGGATTCGCTCCTTTCTCTGGGGTTTGGCGGGCGGAGACTTTGTGACCCTAAAGTAAACAGCAGGACCACACAGGGACCTTTAGGCGGAAGAGTTTGGGAGAAGGCAGGGCCCCTGGCCCCAGGGTGCTGTCCGGGCTGCCGTGTGGCTGGTCAGCCGGGAGGGGTCGGTGGCAAGTGTTGGGCGGAGTCAAACAAGGAGACCAAGCCTCGAGGGCTGTGGGTGTCACGGCTCCAGGTGTGTGCGGGTGGGGGACAGGCTGCAGGTCTTCTGACACCTCCCCATCTCTAAGTTATCATGGCACCTTCATAGGGGCAGCGGCTTTGGGGAGAAAGTGGTGACATTGTTCATCCGAGATTCCAGATGTAAAGTGGAGAAAAGCAGATGGCGGGGGGGTGGTGGGCTGGGGGTAGAGGAAAGGGGGCAGGGAGAGCGGGAGGGACGGGGTGGGGGGGGAGGAAGAGAGAGGACCCAGAAGAACAAGCAGGAAGGGAGCCACGGCCAGGTGGCTCAGCGGGTTGGGGCGCCATTCCCCCCCGGCCCCCTGCCCCCGGCCCCCTGCCCCCTGCCAAAACCGCTGCAAGTTTGATTCCCAGTCAGGGCACTCACACCTAGGCTTGTGCATCCGACTCCCAGTCGGGGTGTGTGTGTGTGGGAGGGAGCCGGCCGACATTTCTCTCTCTCTCTCAGCACTAACCACATATAACACATATTGTGGGGTGAGAATTAAAAAAAAAAAAAAAAAAGAACAAGCACAGAGGAAAGCCAGACACTAGAGCCGGACAGACGGACAGGACTGGGTGTTGCGGTGGGTGACGGGGCGACCCCCGTCGGGGAGGGGGCCGGGGCCCGGCAGGGAGAGGTGACGAGGAGAGGGTGTCCAACGGAGGACAGTGGGGGGCGGAGTCACAGCACGGGGACCAGGAGCGCCGTCCGGGGCGATGAAGGAGGCAGACGTGTTTTTGCTGGGCACCGGGTCTGCGTCGACTTTAGCGGTTGGAGTTTTTCTAGGAAGTCGCACACGCATCCGGACTCACACACTTATCTGTACAGGATCTCTGCAAAGTGCCGTCCCGGTCCTCCTCATTCTCTCTGTGTCTGTGGTCATTTCCTCTGCTCATTTCTCCATTTGGCTAGACAGGGGATTAACCGTTTCATTAGACTGGGTCGTATGAAATTCCTGGTTTCTCGGTCAAAAACAGCTGGGTCCCGGCAGCTTCGTACGTTTCAGCCCGATGTTATTTACCGGGCATTGTCCACCTGCTACTCACTCGCTGTCCCAAATGCGCTGTGAGGCCGACCAGGTACCGCCACTTTGCCGAGGAGGCACGGAAGCTCAGAGAGGTTAAGTAACTCGCCCCAGAACACACAGCTGATATGTCACAGAGCTGAGACGTGAACTCGGATGCCCCACTCACTCACCTCCGCAGGCATTAGTGCGCATGGAGGTAAATGTCACGTCCGTGGCAGGGCTGGCACTGCCGTCTCTGCAGGGCATCTGCTCGCCCAGGCCGGGGGAGGAGGCCCTGATGGGCCCCCTGGAGAGGGACAGGCAGGACCCTGTGGTCATGACGCGGGGGACGCAGAGCTGCAAGGGGGTGGGGGAGGGGCTCACGCTGAAATATTACTTGCAGGGAGAGCAGGGTGCAGGTGGGCGAGTCCCTATGTCCTGACACATTTGGAAGTGGGAGGCCCCTGGTGGGTGAGGGGTGGGTGGGGCAGCAAGAAAGGAGGTTGGGGTCCAGACCAAAATACTGGGGTGACAGAGAGGAAGGGGAGGACACTCAGGATGTGACCTGGTTGATGTGACATGGGGAGACCTATGGGGTGACCCCCACAGCACCCCGCCCCAGGCCCATCTGGTCAGGAGTGGGGACCGGGCTGTGTCTTCCAGGCTGTTTGTCCCTGAGTGGCCCCCGCACCGTGAGGGGCACCGTGGGGGGATCCCTGAGCGTGCAGTGTCAGTATGAGGAGGAGTTCAAAAGGATTAAGAAATACTGGTGTGGAAGCCCATGTTCGATACTGAAGAGGAACAAGATCGTGGAGACCACCGGGTCAGAGAGAAAAGTGAGGAACGGCCGCGTGTCCATCAGGGACCACCCAGCAAACCTCACCTTCACTGTGACCTTGGAGAACCTCACAGAGGATGATGGAGGCGCATACGGGTGTGGGATTAATGTTCCATGGAGCAGCTTACAAACGGACCCCACATTCGAGGTTGTGGTGATTGTGTCCCCAGGTGAGCTGCACGCCCCCTCCCCTTGTCCCAGCGCCAGGCTGCCTGAAGAGTCTCAGGTGGGAACAGCAGAGGCAGGGATCAGACCAGAGACCCGGAGCAAACTATGAGTGTGAGTGTGAGAGTGTGTGTGTAGAGAGAGAGACAGTGAGAAAGGGACACTGGAGGACTTCCTGGAGGAGCTGGCACCTGTGCTCAGTCTTGAAGGATGAGAAGGTGCTTGTCAGGTGAAGGGGAGGCTGAGAGAGAGCTGAGCATGCAAAGGAGAGAGAGAGAGAGGGAGAGAGAGAGAGAGGAGAGGCCGTGGGTTGGCCCAGCAAAAACCTGGGGCTGCGTGGGGGAGGCTGGGGCTGCAGGGGCAGAGCGCAGGGGGAGCTCCAACACGTGACGTGTCAGACGTGCCCCTAAGCAGGCACCTCTGACAGGGAGCGTGTGGCAGTGGCTGGCGGGGCACGGGACAGGTGCGGAGGTGACGTAGGGCCTCTCTGGAGGCCGTGGCCCTCCTGGGCAGGATGGAATCAGGACTCTCGGGGGCGATAGCCGCGGCCTATTGGGAGACGCACACTCTTGGCCCAGGACGGTCCTGGGGAGACTGGCCATCCCGAGGGAGCATTTTGTGTGAAATCAAACCAAAAAGGTGTCGGCCGGGGCGGGAGAGTCAGAAGAGAGACCCCTGGGTCTGGTTTGTGTTTCTGCACCAGCACCAACACCAGCACTGACACCAGCACCAACACCAGCACTGCCGTCACGTGCTACAGCCAAGACCAGGACAACCACGACAAACAGGACAACCACAACCACAGCCCAAATTACAACTCTGTCCACAGTGAAAATGACAGTGAAGGCCACCCACGGACCAAATGGACAGGAGAACTCTCCGCAGAGCCAAGGGTAAGGTCCCCGTGCCCTGGAGGTGGGCCCGCTCCCCAGGAGGAGCACGGGGCAGCCCCCTCCTTCCCTGCCTGCTGGAGCCGCCGGCTGCCCTTGGCCAGGCCCAGGCCGGAAGCCGCGATGTCTCCTGGCTCGGGCTGTTGAGGCCACGCTGGACCTGCCTTGGGGTGTGAGGGAGGCTTCTTGGGGGGTCATGCCGCCAGGCACGGGCTAACTACCTCCGTGAGAGACCCCATATGCTCCCCACTGTGGCCCTCCGCCTTACTGCTCTCACTTTACAGATGAGTAAACTGAGGCTCGGGGAGGCAAGGTGATTTGCCGGGTCACGCAGCTACCAGAGGCAGGCTGGGCTTCTAACATAGGGTTATGTGATCCCAAAGCCCTAGGCTCTTCCTCTAAACGAGTGCTTCTTGACCTTCTTTGGGGTTACCAACCCCGGGAGGATCTGACCAGGAAAATGCACGCTGTCCTACGCCACCTCTGGGTTCACGGGCACCACCCAGTGTCCGGTGACTCAGCCCCGGCGCTGACCCCCGGAGCAAGCACGGGCCCCAAGGGTTAAGAGCCCAGTCCCATGTGCCTGCCTGCATCCGACGTCAGAGCACTCTGGGCATCCCCAGGCTGTTGCACTTCTGACCAGCTAGCTACAAATTAAGGGGCCCCCCAACCCTCTTGGCTCTGATAACTGGTTAGACCGCTGGCAGAATGCGAGAAAGCGCCATACTTACGGTAGCAGTTTTACCGTGAAGGGTAAAGGCTAGGACCAGCCAAACAACGAGACATGGAGAGTTCTGGATGCAGAGCTTCCAACCCCCTCCCAGTGGACTTGGGGGGCCTCCCCCTCCTGGAACATTGAGGTGTCTGACACCCGGGAAGCTCCTTCAAGCTCTGGTGTCCACAGTTTTATTGGGGATGTATCACATAGGCTGATTGGTCGAACCATGGACCACAGGCGTGAACTCGGTTCCCAGCCCCCTCCACTCCCCGCAGGTCAGGCTGGCTCAGAGCCCCAAATCCCGGATCCCTGGTTGTTCCTGCTGGTGACCAGCCCCACCCCGAGTCATTGCATCTCTCCGAGCAATCTCGGGGCAGATACCAGGGGCTCGGGAATCGCGAGAGACACCCTGAGGGTTTGGGGGCTCCCTCCCCAGAGCCAGGGGCAGAGGCCAGGCCCACTCTTCGAGACGGACTCCTCGCCAAGCCTCCCCCCGACCCCAGAGACAGCCTCCACATCGGGGGGCGGGGTGAAATCCGGACCCAAACACACCCCTTCCTGAAACGGGCTCTGCAGGTGCAGACGTGGGGGCGGAGCTAGCTGTGGAGGGGCTGACAATTTGGGGAGGGGGGTGCTACTTTAAGAAAGGCTAGGACATTGGGAAGGCCAACTAGGGGTGAAAGAAGGGGAGCAAGCCAGTGAGGGGCCCGAACCCTAATTCATTCATGTCAGTGAGTCTGCCGCGGGCTCCCCACGCGTGTCGTGGGGGGAGCTACAGGAGATTTTTCACGGCAGTGGTTGTAATTGCGGAAGATGGGAAGTGCCCAGCAGGAGGGACGAGTCAAACAAATGATGGCCCGTCCACCCAGGCAGCGGGACTCTGTGTGGCTCTAAGACAGAGTGGGCGGGGCGGGGGCGGGGGCGGGGGGACTTCTACGTGAACCGACTTGGAGAGAGCTCCAAGATGTAGCGTCTTCTGTTTGTTTTTTCCCATGCTCTCCAAGTCCAAGGTGTGTTGGGGTTTTTTTTTTTTTTTTGAAGTTTTATTTATTTATTTTTAGAGAGAAAAGAAGGGAGGGAGAACGAGAGGGAGGGGAAGAGCGATGTGAAAGAGAAACATCGATCCGTTGCCTCTCCTATGTGCTGGGACCAGGAACCGAACCTGCCACCCGGGCGTGTGCCCTGACCGGGGGTGGGCCCAGCGACCCTTCGCTTGGTGCAACGACGCCCAACCCACTGAGCCACAGCGGTCAGGGCGCGCGATGCACTGTTACGTAAAAAACTGGTGTCTGCACTGTCCTCCTTTGTGTGAGAAAAGGAGGAAAGTAGCACGCACGCCCATTTTCTTGTGTCTGAGTAGAGAGCCTCCAGAAGGTTCTGCAGCATGCTGTGCATGCGGCTCAGGGAGCTGGGTCGGGGAGGGGAGCCGCAGAAAGATGTCCTACTGTCTGTTTTTCCACGTGACCTCCTGCGTCCGTGCAAACAAGGGGGGGAAGGCAGGGCCCCCGCCCCACCCGCCCCTCCTCGTGCCCCTGCAGGCTCCCCGTGCTGCTCTCCTTGCTGGGGCTCCTGCTGTTCCTCCTGGTGGGGGCCTCGCTGCTGGCCTGGTGGATGGTTCGGCGGCGGATCAAAGGTGAGTTAGCACCCCGTCCCTCTGCCCTCCACCCCGGGGTGGGCATGGGGCGCAGGTCCTCAGGCTGCATACCCTGGGTGACCCTAGCAGGTGGACCCAGAGCAGGAGACCCTGGTCGGTGCAAACTGGACATGGGAGGCGGGTCCCTGCGAGGCTGTTCCCCTGGCGGGGCCTTGGTGTGGCCGGGGGGTGGGGTGGGGGGTGGGGCGGGTTGACCTGTGAGGTCCTGTTCCTCTTCTGCTTAAGACCTTTCTGTGACCTCCCACACCCTCAGGTGTCTGGGCCCCTAGAGGACAGTCTCATCCCTCCACCATCTGGCCCTGCCCACCCAACTTCCTGTCAGTTGCCACGGCCCGGGTCCCCAGTCTCACCTTCTGTGCCTGCTCTGGGCACCGCCCTCTGCCCCCGCCGCACTCCTGGTGGGCCCTGAGGGCTGCCCCTAGACTTCCTGTCCTCCTTTTCCTGGCCCCCAAAGAGCAGCCCCGGGGGCCCTCCTGGGCCCACCTCTGTCTCTGCACTGTCATCCCCTTTTTACACCAAATCGGCCCACCCGCTTCCTCGCCTGCCTGCCTCCAGCCCGTGCCAACCCTGAAGATCAGGCACCACGACTCGAGAAGGCACGCAGTCAGTATCTGTTGAATTAACATGTCAATATTACTTGATGTTGCCGGCCGCGAGGGGCAGCCAGGAAGCTCCAGGCCTCCTGCGGCCCAGTCGCTCTGCTCCGAGCTCAGATTCAAAGAGACAACACGTGGGTGCAGCCAGCACCCAGCCCGGCCCTCGCTACGTGGGTGCTCCGCCAGCACGGGGCGAGAGAATTGCACACGAAGGGGGGTGATGTGGCCTTCCCCTTGCTGCTGGCTGGGGGCCCACACAGTCACGCGTGGTGCGCAGACTTCTGTGGGAGGAAAAATGGGGGCCTGGCGTTTTCTTCCCCGGCCTAAGAGTTTTCTCGATTTTGAGAGCACGGGGAATCTTTGTGCTCAGCCTTCTGAGGGCCGCAGTGAGCGGGGAGGGCGCTCTCCCTCCATGGCTGCAGCGCTTCCTGGGAGCCGGTAGGTCAGCGGGCGTGTTGGCAGCAGGGGGTGGGAGGGGGTCGTGGGGGGGACCACTGCCTCCCGTTCTCCAGCCCCCCCACCCGCCCCCCCCACGGCTCAGGCCTGTGGGAGCAGAACGGGTGTCAGCCACTTCCTCTTCCCCATCTGCCGCAGCCCCCACTCCTTTCCGTGTACCTCCTTTTAAACTTCCGCCCCCACGAGGACACTGCTCACCACGTGGGGGTTTTCCCAGCCTGGTTCGCCCCAAATCTGCGGGTCCCGGCGATCCCCGCTGTACCCTTTCACCCAGAAAAGTTCCCCTTTTAAAACACGGGGGCATGTGATTGTTGCAGAAAATTCAAAAGCGAGTGAAAGCACAAAGGAGGAAATGGATGAGCCATAATAAACACAAACTGAAATTCCCACCTCCCAGAGGAAAGCAGCCTCCTTGGAGGTCTGTCCTTCCGGTCTTGTTTTTGATGCCTGTTTATGCACCTGTTTCTTCAAATGTTGCTTCACTCCATTATTCCTCTTTTAGACCTGTTTTTGTTTTTTCTTTTTGTACTTAATGTATTGTTTTTTTCCCTGTGATGAAAGATGGGCTTTCTGTTCAAATATCTGGCTTTGCAGGTCTCAGGCCCTGCCTCCCGACCACGGCCGGGCTGGGCTGTCTTCCCGTGGTCCCTGCTCCTCTCCCCTTGGCCTCTCCAGTTCCCCCTTCAGCCCCCTCTTGTCATTCACTCATTCACTCATTCATTCATTCATTCACTCACTCATTCACTCACACACGTATTTGCTCCCTCGCTCACTCACTCGCACAGCAAAGCTGTCCTGAGCACCTACTGTGCGTCAGGCCCGGTGCTGGGGGTCACTGTCATTGCCAGGGTCGACTGGGTTCCACCGTCCAGCTGGCTGTCCATGAACTTCCTCAAGGCCGCCTTCCCTCCCGGGCGATGTGCTCCCATCTCTTCGCCACCTGCTCTTTCCGCCCTTCCGCTCAGCTCGCCCGGCCCCAGGGAGCGGGAGGGGGTGGGGTGGGGTGGGCCTGTGAGCAGCGGTCGGAATAGAGTGTGTTCACACCTCGGGCGCCTGGATGTGGGTCATGTCAGTTCGACTGAGCGGGCTCAGCGAGCATGTCCGTCGTACGTGATCTTGTGTCTCTGACTGTGGGTACCTCATCACGGACTTGGGGGGGGTCCCTGCAGGGTGGATAGTGTCTCTACCTGCAGCACCCACTGCAGACTCAGGGGTGCCGTGCACCTACGCCAAGGGCACTCCGGCTGTGCACGTCCCCCGCTGCCCCCGGCTCCTGGGGCCTGGGCTGGAAGGGCCGGGCCTGGAAGGGCCAGGGTGCGTGAGCTGTGCTCAGAGGCAGGGCCCCTGCAGAGCAGCACTGCAGGTGCAGCAGTGACGGGCCGTGTCCCTGAGTCATGACCCTGCTGGGCCTCCTGCGCCTGAGGGACAGGCCACCCCCAGGCCAGGGGCGGCACAGAAGACTGTGGTGACATAGTTTGATGCAGTCCGTGACATCCAGTCTGATGCAGCCCTAACTCTGTTCAAGAGCAGTTCCCTTTATTGATTTTAGGGTCTTTTCTTTTTTTTTTTTAAGATTTTGTTTATTTATTTTTAGAGAGAAGGAAGGGAGGGAGAAAGAGAGGAAGAGAAACATCCATGTGTGGTTGCCTCTCACATGCCCCCACTGGGGACCTGGCCCGCAATCCAGGCATGTGCCCTGACTGGGAATCGAACCAGCTACCCTTTGGTTCTCAGGCCTTTACTCAGTCTAGTGAGCTACACCAGCCAGGGCAATTTTAGGGCCTTTTCAAGCCTGGCTGCTGAGCCGCACCCCCAGCGCTCCTGAGTCAGTGTTCCCGGGGCAGGGCCTGCGGATCTGTGTTTTTTTTCCTTGTGGTTAAAGGCGCATGCCATCCTAGCCATTTTCAGGTTTACAGCTCAGCAGCGATAAGCATGTTCATGTTCTTGGCACAGAGACCCCCAGAACTCTTCATCCTGCCGGCAGGGCCTCTGGGAGGGGCATCCCGTGTCTTCCCCGGGGACAACAACCTCCAGGGGTGGAGACTAGCCACTCTGCCCAGGCTGGAGCCTTCCTGCATGTTCAGTTCTCACTCCCTCACCCCCTCGTTCATTCCTTCGTTCACCCCCTCGCTCCCCACTGCACCCTCTCAGCAAACCCCCGAGGTCCGGCCGTCCGCAGACCAGAAGTCTCTGGGGAGAGGCCTTTGTCCAGATGGGTCACAGGGACCCCTGTCCCTGCCGTGCTCTGGGACAAGCCTCCTCACTCTCTCCTTGTCTCTTTAGCTGATAAGAATCCAGAGCCACTGCAGAACCACGAGGTAAGCAAGGCCACGGGCGGGGGGGCGGGGGGGGGCGGGTGTGTGTTGGGGGATGGTTGGGGCACAGGGGCGTTGGGGTTGGGCTGTCCCACCGGCCAGTGGGGGTCTGGGTGGGTCATCGATGGAGGGATGGGGTGCTCGCACCAACAGGGAGAGCCACGCCCTCCAGATGGGGTCCCTGGGGCCAGGCTGCCCCCCCCCCCGCCCCTCCCAGGAAAGCGGAATGAGGGAAGGCCCCCGAGGGCGCTGACACATCGCCCAGGGAGGACCGGAGCGGAGACTGGGGACGCAGGGCAGGAAGCTGGGCCTGGGGCCCCAGAGCATACGGCGGGGGCGGGGGGGGGGGGAGACGTCTGCAGGGAAGCCAGGACGGACGCCTGCGCGGGGTGGACCCTGGAGGGGCTGCAGGGGCAGTCGCCAAGCCCCGCCCCCCACCCCCCCGCCCGCCCGCCCGCCCCAGGCCGCCCAGCAGAGCGAACCCTGCTACGCCAATTTGGAGCTGCAGACCTGGGCCCTCCTGGAGGAGCCCGAGCCGCCGGCGCAAGTGGAGGTGGAGTACAGCACCGTGGTGAGTGTGAGGGCGGCCCCGGCACTGGGGGCCCCGGGGTAGGCCGGGGGCGCCCCCGTGGGGGCGGCTCGGTGCTCCCGTGTCTTTGTAGGACAGAGCCTGTGCGGGAAATGGGGCAGGCGTGGATTTTGCCAGAGCTTGGTGCCGTCGTGGCTGGGTGTGGGGGCGGGGGCTGGGATATGGGGGGAGGGGCTATTCAGATGCCCAGTGACGATGGCCCTAATAAGCTAATAAAGTACCGCTTTTATTAAGCACCTACTGTGTGCCAAGGGCCCGCTGTTGAGGCCCGCGGTTTCTCACTGGTTTGGTCCCGTCACCTCTCCGGCATCCAGGCCCTTTTCAGGTTTCCATCCACGACCTGCCACAGGCCAGCGCCCAGGCAGGGCCTCTGCAGAGCGAAGCAGTGGGGGAAGTCCCCCAGGGCCCCCCTGACAAACCCCCCGCCCCCCCCCCCTCAGTGAAAGGGGTCAAGCAGGGGCCGAGGACCACGCCGGGGAGACGCTGGGGTTGAGATTGAAGCATCAGACACGTGGCCCTGGGACTAGAACGCCCACGTCTCTCTGACGCGGAGACTAATGGTCTCAGGGTGGGCCTCGGGGCCCCCCCGGCTCTGATGCCCGGGGCCGTGTGCTGGACGGGTGGGGTGGAGCAGGCCGGTGGACGGGATCCCGGAGCCCAGGCCCTTTAGGGGGAAGCGGGCAGGACAGTGGGGAAGGCCGGAGCCCCCAGTGGAGCCTCCCTGTGGCCCCCTCGGGTGTCCCCACTCCGCTCCTGGGCTGGGGTCCGCCATGCCCCCACCTCTCCCTGAGTCTCGGTCTCTCCTGCAGAAAGCCCCCCAGGAAGACCCCCAGTACGCCACAGTGACGTTCAGCTCCCGCAATCAGGATGCTAAGGACAGCAGGGCGCCCTCCCAGAGGCCTCCGCAGCCGGAGCCCGAGTACAGCGAGATCAGGAAGAACCAAGCCTGACTCCGCCCCGACACCTGGAGCCTCGGTGGGCGGCAGGGAGCCCGGGCCCCGCCCCCAGCCTGCTCCCCTCCGCGGTGACCCACAAGGCAGCTAGCTGGGCTCCTGCGGGCTGTCCCTCTCGCGCTGGGGACCTGCGGGACGCCCTGCCATCCTGCCCGGCTGTTGTCCCGTCTTCCCTCTGTCCCTCCGCCTGGTCGCAGCCGTGTGTGAGAAGGAAGCCCCGTCCCGTGGGAGTCCCGGAGAACATGTGGCTCCCGTGGGGGGTCTGGGCTTGCCGGGGAGTGCGAGCACTGACGGGGAGCCAGGAGGTCGCCCGGGCACCGAGATGGGGACCCCCCCCGCCTGCAAGACGGGGAGACGGTGGCCGAGCAAGGGCTTGCCCGTGGCTCTAAGACCAGCAGTGGGCAGCGTCCTCGGGCCCCCTGGACTCTTACATAGGTTCGTTTTTCATACAAGAGATATCAACAACGTTTAAAATGCCTTAGGCAGTGGTAGGTAAAAGGGAACCTAATCAACAAACAAACAAACAAGTAAAATATATTTAAAGACACTGAAATAGAGAACAGGCTGACAGTGACCAGGGGGGAGAAGGGAGGGGATTTCAGGGGAGAAGGGGAAGTGTTTGCGGGAACAAGTATAAAGGACACGTGGACAATAACAAGGGGGAGGGGTTGGACACGGGAGGGAGGTGGGGAGGGCTGGGGGTTGGGCTGGGCTGGGGGTAAAAGGCAGAAAACTGTACTTGAACAACAATTAAATTAAATTAAATTAAATTAAATTAAACAAAATACCTTAGGAGGGAAATTATTTAAACAGTGCTTGCCCTGCACCTGTGATCCCGTGTTAAAGGACGCTCCTGCCCGTGACCCCAAAGGAGCACGGAGACGCTGGAAGGATGCAAGGGGGTGGGGACAGCCTGAGACACGTCATCCCTGCGCGGGAAAGGGGCAGCCACGGCTGGTTCTCTCCCTGTCCGGGGTCTCAAAGTGGCTGCAAACGGTGTCCTGAAGTCTCAGGGGGTTTCTCTCAACTCTGGACAATGTTTTGATCTATTTGAAATAAACAGTCGTTCAAAGCAAGGGGTGTATTTCTCCTAAGTCAAAAGCTTGTTTGTTTGTTTGTTTGTTTTTCTAGGTGAATATTTCGTTTTATTTTTAAAATTATTTTATTGTTGTTCAATTACAGTTGTCTGTAATTGAACAGTTTTCCTCCCACCACTCCCCCCGACCCCGCTCCGACCCCAGCCTAACCCACCTCCCTCCCTTGCTTCCACCCTCCCCCTTGGTTTTGTCCACGTGGCCTTTACAGTAGTTCCTGAAAACCCTTCCCCCCAACCATTGACCTTGCAGCCCAGCTGTGCCCTTCGAGCAGTTTCCTCTGAGGCGTGGGCCCAGAGCATTTAGAAGACTCTTCGAGGGGCAAGAGGCCCCCAGGGGGTGGACGGACAGGCTCCAGTTTGGATCATCTCCAGATTTTTAATTACTCGTGCTTGTGTGAGTCATCCCCAGTACTTCCTCTCTCTCTCCCTCTCTTTTTAAAAAATATTTTATTTATTTATTTTTAGAGAGAGGGGAAGGGAGGGAGGAAGAGAGGGAAACATCAATGTGTGGTTGCCTCTTGAGCGCCCCCCACTGGGGACCTGGCCTGCACCCTAGGCATGTGCCCTGACTGGGAATCGAACTGGCAACCCTTTGGTTCGCAGTCCGGCGCTCAGTCCACTGAGCCACACTGGCCAGGGCCCTCTCTCTTTTTACTACTGTCCTGAGAGGCAAAGGGGGCATACACACACACAGAGACAGAGACACACAGAAACACAGCATGGACACAGGCACACAGAAGACAAAATAAGAGAGAAAGTACTTTGTCGCAGGAAAGTCGTTGTGAAACGCTAACCGGAGGCTGCCTGTTGCTCTTGGCCGTTCCTTCCGCTCCACTCGCACAGTCACGCCACCGGGCTCGCTCCTCCGATGCTTCAGAGAACGCAGTGATGCAAAAGGATGCAGAGGATGGGTTGCCTTCCTCTGCGGTTTCCAAGGCTTTGTGGGAAGAGGAAGCAGGTGGGCCCTGGCTTGGAGCCGCCCAGAGAGCTGGCGCAGGCCTGCGAGGTGCACTGGCCACCGGTGGTAGCAGCTCCGGAAGGACGCCGGTCTCCGCGGAGGTGGGCGGGGGGCGTGAGAAGTCCTGGGACGAAGAAGAGAACATACAACCTCTCCTCGGTCAGTGAACACGGTGACGGCATGTTGAAATGATGACAGTTTGGCTGTATGGAAGTAAATAAAATATACTCCTAAAGTTGTCTCTTCTTCTTCTCCTTCTCCTTCTTCTTTCTTCTTCCTTCTCCCTTCTCGCTTCTTCCTTCTTCTTCCTTCTTCCTTCTTCCTTCTTTCCAGGGGCATGAGGTTTATTCATCCAGAGGAACGCTGAACAGGAATGATAATGTATCGAACTTGAAATAGCTCAGCCTCGGAGCAAGAAGCAGGGACCCAACAACCATGTGTCTCCACCGTGTGGCCACATATGGAATCGCACATCCTTAACACCCCCCCCCCGCCACACCCACCCCACGCCCTCAGCCCTCCCGCCCCCCCCCACCACCGCCCTCCTGCCGCTGGTCGCTGGTCATATTGCTTCCTCCGGCTGGACCCAGGAGAAGGAATTCTGTTTTCCAGCTGAGCAGGGGAAGGCCTGAAATGGGGGAAGGGCACGAACACCCCCCTCAGCTTGGCCATACCCCCACCATCCACCCCTTGCATGTCATTGTGTGTGTGTGGGGGGGAATCTCAATTTCTCCCCAACCTTGAGTTCCCTTATTTCACGCCAACTGTCTCTTCCCCGTTTCTGGATTCTCCCCGCCCTGACTTCCGAATGTCAAGGGAAAGCGCAGCCCCTGCTGCCCCCAGTCACCGTAACAGACTTGGGGGCAGGCGGAACAGGCCCTACACCTCGGCTCCGCCTGCACCAGCAGCTCCAGGGGCTGGGCTCTCCCTGGAGGCCGTTGGAGTCCCCACCTCCTTCTCCGTGACAACAGTGGCCTGGGGGCCCGCACTGCTTTCTCCCTTGCCGCGCTCAGAAGCAAACACTCCTATTCTGGGAAGTATTTTTTTAAAAGATTTTACTTACTATTTTTTAGAGAGAAGGGAAGGGAGAGAGAAAGGGAGGGAGAGAAACATCAGTCAGTTGCCTCTTGCACGCCCCCCAGTGGGGGACCAGGCGCCCATAACCCAGGTATGTGCCCTGACCAGGACTTGAACCAGTGACTGGCACTTTGCAAGACGGACGCTCAACCAACTGAGCCACGCCAGTCAGGGCTGGGAAGTGCTTTTAGATGTTTATCCACACGTATCTACCTGTTAGCAGAGGAAAACCTGCAGTGAAAATTCTTGAAGAGATTAGTCCCATTAGGAGCAAGCTCTTAGAAAGACTCTCTCCACCCCCAGACCGCCCCCCCCCACCCCTGCTCCTTGTGGTTTTGTTGTCTCTGAGAGTTTCCGGGCCAACTCGGATGTATCGCTCTTCCCCACTTGAGTTGCGCCCTTTGGACTCTCGCCTTTGCCCGACAGGCTGCGGATCTGCCCCCCACCTTGTGGCAGGTGAACCCACACCACACCCCTCACACCAGGTCAGGGGCGAACCCCAAGGGAGCATAAGGAGTCGCCCTCTACAGTAAAACCCAGCAGCGCAGGGGGGCTGATCGCAGACGGAGGCGACCTCGGCTGCGCCCCCCCCCCCGGGCAGGCTGTGATGGCAAGCGTTTCCTAGTCACACAGAGACACGTGGCCCTTGAATGACCAGAGCAGGATGCGAGCGCCCCTCGGTGCCGTGTGCAGGCGGCCGAGTCAGGGAAAAGGAGCAGGGAGCCTTGATCGACAAGGGTGTGTGATCACCCAGACGGCCTGGATGGATTCAAGGTCAAAGCCGCCTGCAGGTATCCGCTGGCCCAACGGCTCTTCACGTCCACAGAGGACGGCTGTCCCCACAGGGTGACGAGCATTCCACTCGTCCGTGGGTGAGAGGGTCAGAGGTGTCCTAAACTCGTCAGGTTATCAGCCTCGGGGGCCGTCAGCTGATCCGAAGTCCATGGGATCAGGAGGCTCCAGATCAGCTGGGGGTGGGGGTGGGGCTGGAGAGGGACTGTGCTCTTGGCGAGGCACCTGGCTTCCAGTTCTCCCCTCTGCTCTGGCGCAGCTGGCGGGGGGAGTGGGGGAACAGGCTCTGCAGGGAGAGGGTGGGGGTCCAGGCAGCAGCCAGGACTGTCCTAGAGCCCCAGAGAAGGAGGGGACAGGGGCCCGGAATCTTCTAACCCCAGAACTTCTGCTTTCAGCTGGACCCCGGGGCCACCAGATGCCGATGCCCAGTAGTAAGTGCTGGTGACCACCGCGGCCACTGGGACATCCCTGAGGGCACGGGGCCCCTGTCGCTTCTGGCCCTGGTCCCGTGGCTTGAGCCACGTTTCAGCTGAAGTCCCAGGCTGCTCACAACACCCCCAGTGCCCAGAAGCCTCCCACGTGGTTAGGGGGGCATGGCTTGGCCCACGGAATCCCACCCACCACGCGGAATCCCACGTGCAGGGGCTCCGCCCACACAGGCCGAGACGCTCGGTGCTCCGGGAGCCACGGGAGAAGCAGCCGGGAGAAAGCAAGCTGGGACTCAGGGTGCTCCCACCTGCCCCAGGGCCACAGACCAGCAGGGAGCATGAGGTCCTGGTGCCCAGGGAACAGAGTCCACCCCCCAGCTCCCTGCAAAACCTGGCCTGGAGGGTGTGCACGTGGCAGCACCTCCTGCCTTGCTGGGGCCCTGGCTTTGGGAGCTGCGCCTGCGCCCACCTTGGCCGTTGCTGGCCCCTTGCTTCCCGGGGACCGAGCTATAGGAGGCTGACTTCCGAAGAAGCCGCTCTCTGCTCCCAGGCGCCTGAGGCAGCGAGTCCTCCACGTTCCAGGTCTCTGTCGGGGCTGCACGGCCCGGGCTGGGGTCCGAGAGGCCTGGACTGGGTGTCAGGAGACAGGCCTCCTGTCCCAGCTCAGAGTCGAGGAAAGTTGGGGAACCTGAGGCTGGGAGGTGCAAGTCCATGCTCCTCGGGCAGAGCTGGGACGGTGGACCGGGCTCTCACTAGCCATGAGTCTCTCCCCTGAGCTGCGTTGCTTCCCCTGTGCATGGAGCTGGAGCCTGGCATCGTCCGCCATCCAGAGCCGCTGGAGGGGCGGGGCGGGGGTGGCCGTTGTGAAAGCGGGGTGCAGGCTGGTGCAGCGCAGGGCGCGCCCCGTTACACGATGCTCCCGTCCAAGCACGGTAAGTTCCCTTCCACCCCAGACCTTCTGCCACCTGGCGCGGTCAACTCTTTCTGACGCCCCCTCGTGGGTTTTTCTCCGTTCTGGTGAATTTGACCTTCAGCACAGCGACTCGGTGAGGTCGTGCACGGGTGACCCTGAGGAGGAAGCGAAGGAGAAGGTGCATGAGCTGTGGGAGGGCTCGGGGCCCCGCAGATGCTGGGGTGCACCTGTCCCCTGGGGCGGGCCGCGGGGCCCTGGTTCCGTCTGGTCGGGCCAGCCCCCCCAGCGCCTTTGAGGTGGATGGAGTTCGATGATGTAGAGGCCGCACAGAGAGGCT